TACATACTTGTAAATGTATATATTTTAATATGATTTTATGTGCTTTAAACGCTTTTCTAGTGATATTATGACTTCAATATTTGTGGCGAACAGACGTAAAGTCGAATAAAATGACTTAAACTTGATTTTTATTTTTCCATATACTTTTTTGACAAACGACGTATAATCGGAAATGACGTAACTCAAAACGACATAAGTTGAGGTATAACTGTATATAATTATTTTAATTTCTGCTACATCAAACATAATATACAAATTTCTTCTAGTTTACCAATGTACCATTTTACATATTTAAAATATTTGAATTGTGTATTTATTGATATATTTAACTCTACATTAGCTCAAACTTTTATCAGTGCAACATTGTGATGGTCTTCTTCACAATAAATTTATTTTCTATACAGTCAACAATTCTTAACAATTTAAAATTCTGAATTGTTTATGTAATCCCATAACAAATTAATATGCAATAATTTGACAATATAATATTTCTTTGTTCTGTTGTTTTATTGTAATCACTTTGAAACTTGTCTATAACATTAAATAGGCATGTCAATAAGACTACAATTAATGGAATTTTTGGTTTTATTGACTAACACTAAATGGACATGTAAAAACAATAAAAACTTTTATAACTCAAATATCCATTAATTATAATAATAATAATTTATCTAATGTTTATTGTTTTTTGTATTACTGTTATTTAACAGCTGTTGTATAAATAAAGTAAGAAATTCTATCAATTTTAATTATTGTACATAATAAAATAATGATTAAAATGATCAATTATTACTATTTAAAGTAATGGTTAAAACTGATAATGATTGCATGTTAGCTGCATAATGAGGCCAACAAAAAAAAAAACCTGTTCATCTGACAATAATGTGGTAACTACAATTAAAACTGTTTACAATAAGCGTATAATTGTTTACAATAAGCGAAGTGCTTATTGTAAACAGTTTTAATTGCTTAAACTTATATGCTTTGGGACATGCATTCTGATAACATTAAGTAACTAATAATATCCGTGATTATAAGTGAATTTTATTGTATTTATAAATTTGCATTAAATATATTACAATTGCTGAAAATCAAACACCAGCAATTGGACAAAAATTGTTAGAAAATACAAATGGCAATAACTCCAAACATTTAAATAAATATATTAAAATCTTCACATATTAAAATTTCTACATCTAAAATCTCAAATGCAAAAGCCACGGATGGCATGCAAACAATAGGAAATATATATTTTGTTAAAATTATTTATATTTTTTCTTAATAATATACTTTATGCAAATTGACACAAAACAGCAACAAGATTGATATCATCCAATGCAATGACAGACCATTCTGTACAAGCCAAACAAAACATGCAAAAACATGATTTTCATATTAAAAACATTGATATCGACAGCTTTCAAAATAATTAAATTTTCAGCATATCTATCTGAAGAGCCAGCTTTTAGTACAGATATCTAAAAGTGGAGAATGATTCCGTGCTAGTAAGTAGTAATACAACTCATAATTTTGAAATTTGATATTCTATGACCCATTGAGATATCAATACTAGTAAATTTTGAAATTTGATTATCGTAAAAGGAAGATTATCTAACTATGATATTTAAAACTGACATATTACTGATAAGCTGTTTTGCTTTATCATTCCAATAACAAATTAATTTGCCAATGGAATGATAAAGCAAAACAGATGAAATTTTTAACAATAAAATTACAATTTAGCTTATATAATTATTTTTCAACTTTTTCTTGGTCAAATGGTTTTGCATCAAATGGTTTTGCACCAAACAAGATAGCATTGTATTCTGTTCAGCTAATATGTTTAAATATAATTAAATATTTATGTATTAATTTGTTTAAATTAGAAAGTTCAATCTAAATTATTTATTTATTTANAAAGAAGCTAAGGCAATGCATAGTTTCAAGGTTTTTAAAGATAAAATCATGTTTTTGTTGGGAGGGAATGCCGCTGGGTTCAAGTTAAAGCCTTTCCTGATCTATCGCTCTGAAAACTCACATGCATTAAAGAACATTAGTAAAAACAGTCTGCCCATTTATTATCATGCAAATAAAAATGCATGGATGACTCAACCTTTATTTGAAGATTGGTTTTGAACTGCTTCATACCCTCAGTCCAGCATTATTGTTTGAAAATGGGAGTTCCTTTTAAAATTATTCTCCTGCTTGATAATGCTCCAGACCACCTGCAGGCCATACTGATAAGCTACACCCTGATGTAAAGGTAGTCCTAAAAACACAAAACACAAATGCTGTCCTACAGCCAATGGATCAGGGCGCTATAGCTATGTTCAAAGCGTTTTATTTGCACACAACTTTTTCCCAAGCTGTAGCAGCAACAGAAAATGATGTAGTAACTCTGTGATTTTTTGAAATCATACAGTACAGTAGATCCCCCTATAAAACCGTTTCCTATAGTATAATGTGATTAAAAAAACTTCTGTAGAATATTTGAATACGTTAAAATTTTAATTAAAAATTGTTATTGATAAATATAATAATACATAAGCTGGTTGCATTTCAACTCATGTTAATCATGCATATGACTAAATGTTTTATAGTTTAAAAAACAAAATTTATAATATATAAAATTTCAATACTTAACCTCACAATCTTCCTTTTTAGTTGGTGGAAGAGTACCTCTTTCTAACCATGCTGCCGGTGCACAACTAATAAATGTGTAATTTTCATATCCAGGACATAATGGAAAAAGAGGTTCAGGCTAAATTAAAAAACACATGTATATCAAAAACTCAAAATTAATTAATTATAAATTGAAAATGTTAAATATAATACTTTAAACTGTGTCTGATGATATTAGTTTAGAGTGATTTTAAAATCAGAAATATGACTATAGAGAACTTCTTTGGATGAAAAAATTCTTTAAAGCAGTACTTCTCGAACTGGATATGTGAATTAAGTCATATTTTAGTTTTTGTAGATGATTCATGCCAACAGCAATTATTAATGCAATAAAAAAAACTTAATATCAATTAGATCTGATTTATGTAAAATTACTTTGTCTTAAAATTTTTATTTATATTCAACTATGAGTTTCTTTTATTTTTTAATAAAAAGTTTCTTTATGTTTTCATACATACAACATGTAAAAAATGTTGTGTTTGTTTTGAATTGTTATAATTTCAAATGTAAAGACAAAATAACTACACACACACACACACAAAAAAAAATATATACAAACTTGGCTAATTTGAAGTTCAGAGGCAGTGCAAAGCAATTTGAATTATCCAACTTTATTGATAATTATTAAATAATACAGATATAGTGAGTGTACTTACTTTGTTGTCAGATTTTTTTGTTAAACTTAAAACTGAGCAAAAAGCAAAAAACAAAAGCAAAACTGGTGTAGAATGCAAAGTGAAAAGTGATTGCAAATTTTGAATAACTAATCATTTATAAACAAGAGAAAAAATCATCAGTAAAAAAAAAAAAAAAAAACATTTCCACATTGTTTTTAACAACTATTGCATACAGGTACTCCTCACTTTACGACCTATCTGCTTAAAGATCCATCACACTTACAACCAATTGAATTTTAACCTGCAATTCAGGGAATCCCCTTTCTCAGCTTTAGTGTCAGTCAGTGGCGAATGGTGACATGTGCACTGAGCGTACTACAAGCTTGCTATGCACTTTTTCAGTCAGTTTCATTCCGACAGGCAGTCACTGTGCAGTCACCTCATTTTCTTTTACATATTTGTAACCCCAAAATAATACAGATGTTGATGAAAAGAAAAAGTATAGTATCATCTGGAGAAATTGTTAAGAAACGAAGGAAAGCTATCGACCTTGAAATGAAAATAAAAATCATACAAGACTACGAAGCTGGTAAAATGGTTAAAAATATAGCATGTAACTTGAAATTGGCACATTTGACAATTTCAAAAATTTTAAAGGATAAAGTTAAGAGTGAAAGCGGCGGTGAAATCATCGACAGGATTTAAAGCCATAATAACTAGACAGCGAAAAGGTCTTATTCATGGTGTGGATAAATTATTGGTGATCTGGTTTGACAACCAAATGCAAAATAATATTGCTGATAAGCCTTTTAATAATTCAAGTTAAAGCATGCAGTATCTTCGAGACTTTGAAGGCACATGAAGGCTAAAAATTGACAGAATCATTTACAGCAAGCCATGGATGATTCAACAGTTTAGGCAGTTTAGATTCAACCTGCATAATTGGAAAATCAGTGCTGAGGTGGCAAGTGAGGATGTAGAAACAGCAGAAAAATTTGTTGACAAATTGGCTGGAACAATTAAAAAAGGCAGCTACTGCCTGGAACAGATATTCAATGTGGATGAAACTGGGCTTTGGTGGAAAAAATACCTGAAAGGTCCTATATGCACAAAGAAGCTAAGGCAATGCATAGTTTCAAGGTTTTTAAAGATAAAATCATGTTTTTGTTGGGAGGGAATGCCGCTGGGTTCAACTTAAAGCCTTTCCTGATCTATAGCTCTGAAAACTCACATGCATTAAAGAACATTAGTAAAAATAGTCTGCCCATTTATTATCATGCAAATAAAAATGCATGGATGACTCAACCTTTATTTGAAGATTGGTTTTGAACTGCTTCATACCCTCAGTCCAGCATTATTGTTTGAAAATGGGAGTTCCTTTTAAAATTATTCTCCTGCTTGATAATGCTCCAGACCACCTGCAGGCCATACTGATAAGCTACACCCTGATGTAAAGGTAGTCCTAAAAACACAAAACACAAATGCTGTCCTACAGCCAATGGATCAGGGCGCTATAGCTATGTTCAAAGCGTTTTATTTGCACACAACTTTTTCCCAAGCTGTAGCAGCAACAGAAAATGATGTAGTAACTCTGTGATTTTTTGAAATCATACAGTATTTTAGATTGCATTAAAAACATTAAATCAGCTTGGGACAAAGTGACAGATAAGTATATGCAAGGCATGTAGAAAAAATGCAAAAAAGTTTTGTGAACAATATCGAATCATTTGACAATCTTGAACAAACTGATATAATTCAAACAATTGCATGCCTTGCCAATGTGCTTAATTTAGATGTTGAAGTGGAATACATTGTTGAATTAGTGGATTATGCCAATGGAGAGCTAACAAATGAGGATTTAATAGAGTTAGAAATGATGCAGCATTTGGAAGAGAAAAAGAGGAAAGAACCGAAGAAGTGAAAAAAAAAAAAAAAATTCATGGTACATGGATTAGCAGATGTGTTCTCCAAAATTAATGTGGCTATAGATCCAAATACTGAACGTTTTAAACATAAAGTTGAATATAGGATAAGTGAACTTTAAAAGTGCTATAGAGAAATTTATCAAGAAAAAAAGAAGATTACAAAGCAAACCACACTTATGAGTTTCTTTTCGACTGTTACATCCAGGACCTCCATCCTTGAAGGTATTTAGCCCAGAACTTATATTTCATCGTCGTCATCTCCCTTACCTGGACCCACTACATCTCCAGATAACCAAATAAACAAATGATAATATGTACCGTACATATGCATATCTTTTTATGAATAAATTTGAAGTTTGTAGCATAAATTTTTTAATTTTATAACGATCCTATATTCCTGGTGCAAGCTCCTCACTTATTGACCAATTTGCTTAATGACATAGTCGTTGGAATGGAACTCGGTTGTAAAGTGAAGAGTAACTGTATTTTTTACAAATATGAAAGATAGCTTAAAAAAGACAATGTTGGGTGAGAGAAATGTTTAAAAGGTGTAAACTGTAGGAATATCATGCTAATTTTGACCTCTACTCTGTTGTGTCATGATTTTATAATCATCTTAAAAATTATTAGAGACACTTGATGACCAAGGGCACTGATTAGTGGCAATATCTTTTTCGTTTTATTCCTTTTTCTACTTCGTTAATTACCTCAATTTTTCTTTCCAAAGTTAAAGCATTATCATATGATCCAGGCTTCGATACAATACAATATAGTAAAAAAACTACAGTACAGTAAAGAAACAGAAAAGTAGGCCTACAATAAGAACTATACTACACTAAACAATTACAGATAATTACTAGCACCTGAAACCTAGCACGTGATGTGGTGGGAATTTGAAACACATTACATGTTTAACAACAGTAGTCTCCTATTGCTTTTTATCTATTGTACTGTAAATAGCTTATCAGCAAACCACAAATTAGAATATGAAAGGTGAAAGGACAACTACAGGGCAGGCAAGAATTCCAAGAAAATAGATATTCTGAAATGATAAAACCCTAGAAATTTTCAAAATATAAGATTACTACTGCTTTGAATTATCCAAAAATTAAAAAAAATGTTTGAATTAAACAGGTAATTTTAACATTACATGTAATAGGATATTCAAGAAAAATTTGAATTATCCAAAAATTCAAATTAACCAAGTTAAAATTAAACAAGATTGACCTATATGTATATATAAATATTTATTTCTTTATTTTCTCATTTTGGATTCTTTCCACCTCAAGGACACTAAAAGGGCCTTTTCTCCAGGCCCATCGTAGGTCTGGATAGGCCCACAATGGAATGAACGGGCTATGAGCCTGACACATTTGGGACAGACTACACATGAAAAATTTCTGGAGTTATTCCCTACCCAGCTTTTATCCTGGATTCTCCAGAGTGGTAGGCTGAACAAACTACAACTTAATGTTCTCTCACCTGATTATACAATATGCCATTTTCATTGTGCAATGGAATGGATGCCCATCTATAATATTGTGTATAATCCATATATTTTGTATCAACTAGATAAATTAGTTACAATTTTTGTGATTACTCAGGATTTATTTCTTCATAATTTGAAGTTTGGACTATTTACAAAAATTAGTTTGGACTATATACAAAAATTCTTCAAATTATGAAGAAATAAATCCTGAGTAATCACAAAAATTGTAACTATATGCAAATAATGTAGATACTCGTAACTACCACTAGAGGGCTAGAAGCAGTTTAAAAGAATGGATAAAAATGATAGTGTGAAGAATTTCTGTGTGTTTTTAATTGTAAAAGTGTCAGAAACCTACAGAGAAAGGCTGACACTTGATCTTTTTTAACCATTGGGATTTTTTACCAATTTTTACCTGNACAATAAGAACTATACTACACTAAACAATTACAGATAATTACTAGCACCTGAAACCTAGCACGTGATGTGGTGGGAATTTCAAACACATTACATGTTTAACAACAGTAGTCTCCTATTGCTTTTTATCTATTGTACTGTAAATAGCTTATCAGCAAACCACAAATTAGAATATGAAAGGTGAAAGGACAACTACAGGGCAGGCAAGAATTCCAAGAAAATAGATATTCTGAAATGATAAAACCCTAGAAATTTTCAAAATATAAGATTACTACTGCTTTGAATTATCCAAAAATTAAAAAAAATGTTTGAATTAAACAGGTAATTTTAACATTACATGTAATAGGATATTCAAGAAAAATTTGAATTATCCAAAAATTCAAATTAACCAAGTTAAAATTAAACAAGATTGACCTATATGTATATATAAATATTTATTTCTTTATTTTCTCATTTTGGATTCTTTCCACCTCAAGGACACTAAAAGGGCCTTTTCTCCAGGCCCATCGTAGGTCTGGATAGGCCCACAATGGAATGAACGGGCTATGAGCCTGACACATTTGGGACAGACTACACATGAAAAATTTCTGGAGTTCTTCCCTACCCAGCTTTTATCCTGGATTCTCCAGAGTGGTAGGCTGAACAAACTACAACTTAATGTTCTCTCACCTGATTATACAATATGCCATTTTCATTGTGCAATGGAATGGATGCCCATCTATAATATTGTGTATAATCCATATATTTTGTATCAACTAGATAAATTAGTTACAATTTTTGTGATTACTCAGGATTTATTTCTTCATAATTTGAAGTTTGGACTATTTACAAAAATTAGTTTGGACTATATACAAAAATTCTTCAAATTATGAAGAAATAAATCCTGAGTAATCACAAAAATTGTAACTATATGCAAATAATGTAGATACTCGTAACTACCACTAGAGGGCTAGAAGCAGTTTAAAAGAATGGATAAAAATGATAGTGTGAAGAATTTCTGTGTGTTTTTAATTGTAAAAGTGTCAGAAACCTACAGAGAAAGGCTGACACTTGATCTTTTTTAACCATTGGGATTTTTTACCAATTTTTACCTGTGTTTTAAGAAGAGTTCTTCAAAGCAGAAAATTTTTTGTGACTGTTACTTCTATGTAGTGTAATAAGGATAAAGATGGACTCAAAAGTAAATTTTGACTTTTTGTAAATAGTCCAAACTTCAAATTATGTAGATAAATTAGACTAAAAAACAAAAAAACACACCTTTAAAAGATCCAGCAAAAAAATTTACTAAATAATAACATTTTCAATCAATTTAACTGATCTTTTTCAGTTATAATACAATTGAATGTGAAAATAGAACGTAAATACAAAAATTTAAAAATAAACGATAACAGGAATTCTAAAATATATAAATAAGCAAAATTGTGGTTGAGATTCATAAATTAATAACCACAGAAATAAAATACAGCAGACCCCCTATAAAACGGGTTCATATAATATGGATTCGTATATCACAACGAAAAAATTGCAATCGTATTCGTATAAACATGCTAAAAGAGGCTCATATAATAGGGTAAAACGTCATCGCTGACTCATGTTGCAACAGGATTAGTTGAATCTAGACCAATAGCGGATATTGCACAAACCGTTGAGTTTAAACGAGCAGTGGACCTACTAAAAACCAAACCATAAAAATTATATTTATATTAATGATGTCTCCAAAATTCAGCAAATTTTTTGCAGAAAAATAACTTATCAGAAAACACCGCATGCCGTTTGATGCGCAGCTCCACAACAAAAACAAGCTTAAGAAATGGCATCGTTGAACGGTGCACACTCTGTATGTAATCCTACAATTTTTTGTTTATAGCATAGTTTATATGGATTATTCCCAAAAAATTATACCTGTTTTGGAAATGTTGAGTCAAATTAGTCTAGAATCGATTAATTTTATGGAAGAAAACCTTTCAAACAGCCGTAGTCCCTAAACTGCATACATGCCAGGCTGTGATTGGCTCATGTATTTAAGTGATCGTAAAACATGAATTCATATAAAACAGAATGTATCTACTATATTTAGGTAATATGATCAAACGTCAATACAGTGCTTTCTCAAATAGCACTTCCCTTGTAAAGTGTTAATGAGGACTCATAAATGGATCTCTTCCATAAGTATCTGTTACTAAATGTATGATTTTGCAGTGCAAATGACATTTTTATCAGCACTGCAACTTAAATTTGCATGCAGATGTTACTACATGTAACTCTTATTGTTTGAGACACTTGTTTTGTACCACACTCAATTCAAAGGCAAACAAATGGCAGCAATAAATTGACATTTGACAGAATATATCTACTGTATTATAGGGGGATCTACTGTAAAGAATAAAAAGTAAAAATAGACGAATAAATGTCCCTTAATAAAATTAACTTTCATAAAAGAACCGCCATGCAATAGCCAAGCTGTTTGCATTTCTATAGTTGATACAACCAGATTTTCTGTGTGCTTTAAAAATCTCCAATTTTTCCAGATATCTCATAGTGTGTATATTAGATGTGGATCTGATGATGGCTGCCTGGTCCCATTGTACTTGTATGCCCTATCTATTAAAGGTGTGTTTTTTTGATTGTGTATAATGAGGCTATTATTTAATCAGGATGCATTTAATGTTTTAATAAAATTTTTATACATAATTTGTAAGTGTAATAATAAATTCAATTATAAAATAAGAAAACACTTATACAGTAGACCCCCTATAAAACGGATTCCTATAATTACGATTCCTATAAGACAGCGAAAAAATTGCGACGGTATCCGTAAAAAATGGTAAAAACTCCTATAATTACGTAAAACGTCATCGGGCAGCCGAACTACTTTCCGCACCATCAAGCGCCACGATACGGAGAGATTACTATCGTCTGTACAGTATTATATATAAATTAGGTACTGTACATATAATTATATATTAACTTAATTTATTTTAACTTTATTATAATTATATGTATAATTTCCACCGCCTAGCGCCACGCTACGGAGAGTTTAGGCAAACTATCGTCTGTACAGTGTGTAAATTAGGTACCGTAAGTCTAATACAGTACTGTAATTTTATACATTTCTTGAATAAGAAACATTTCTTATTCAATGGCAATAAAAATTATTTATATTAATGATGTCTCCAAAGTTCAGTGAAGTTTTCGCAGAAAAATAACATCAGAAATCGCAGCCGCAGTTTGCTGAGTTTTTCTGCAACGAAAACAAGCTTGAGCAATGGCGATGTCGAATGGTGCACACTCGGTAAGTAATCCTACAATTTTTTGTTTATAGTGTAGTTTATATGGATTATTTCCAAAAAAAAAATATACGTATTTTGGAAATGTTGAGTTGGATTAGTCTAGAATCGATTAATTTTATGGAAGAAAACCTTTCAAATAGCCGTAGTCTGTAAACTTGACATGTGTCGGGCTGTGATTGGAAGGACTCGTAAGAAATGGATTACTAAAGAATGGAACGTATCTACTGTCTTATAGGGGGGTCGACTGTAATTAGAAAAATGTTCGGGGCTCCAAATGAATGGTTTAATGTCTTTAAAAGGTTTACTTCGAGCATTGATTGATATGCAAATTGTACATTTTTGTTAGTTTGGTAGGATTGTTCAATTTGCACTTTAAAAGAAATCATTTGATCATTTTACATGACAAAAGTTATACAGGAAATAAACTTTTCAATGAAAATATGCAGTTAAATTGAACACATTAGATAACAAATTTGACTGAAAGTAAAGATCCTTTTTAATACTGTAAAATTTTTTACTTTAAATGTGAATTTTATAAGGAAAATAACGTATTTTAATATATAAAATTAATTTTAAGAAATTAGTTAAGAAGTAAACAATAGATGGCACTGAGATCTGTATTATGAACTAAATGTAACCAACTCATTATTATATATACAATAGTAAATATATACAAAACTTGAAGAAATTTTATAAATAATAATTTTGTTAATTTTAAGAAAATTCTATCATCTTTTGTAAGTCCATTTTAAAAATAAACAAACTTACCAACTGACCAAAATTGACAAAAAATTCACAATTTTTTGTAAGAACATGGGGATAAAGTGCTTGTTCTCCAATCTGTTCCCTTGGTATTCTATATGCAATTCCTAAATGTCTTCCATTCTTGGCATAACTAATTTCAATTGGATTAGTATCTGCATTCTACAAAGTAGTAATTTGTAAAATTGAAAAATATCTTAATTAACTCATTTATAATACAGTAATACCTCAACTTACGCTACCCCAACTTACGCGATTTTCAAATCTCGTCAATTCGTCTTTTGTTTGAGCGCCACGCAACTCTTGATTACTCACCCCCCTCACACTATTGTTCAGCTTACATGTTCGGACGCATCGCACGTAATCGACATATACTGTAGCTACAATTTATTTTGTGTTATTTATTTCCGTGTTTGTTATATCTATGGAGACTCAAGAGACTCTCCTATGTCATACATGAATTCATATAAAACAGAATGTATCTACTATATTTAGGTAATATGATCAAACGTCAATACAGTGCTTTCTCAAATAGCACTTCCCTTGTAAAGTGTTAATGAGGACTCATAAATGGATCTCTTCCATAAGTATCTGTTACTAAATGTATGATTTTGCAGTGCAAATGACATTTTTATCAGCACTGCAACTTAAATTTGCATGCAGATGTTACTACATGTAACTCTTATTGTTTGAGACACTTGTTTTGTACCACACTCAATTCAAAGGCAAACAAATGGCAGCAATAAATTGAGATTTGACAGAATATATCTACTGTATTATAGGGGGATCTACTGTAAAGAATAAAAAGTAAAAATANTAACTGATCTTTTTCAGTTATAATACAATTGAATGTGAAAATAGAACGTAAATACAAAAATTTAAAAATAAACGATAACAGGAATTCTAAAATATATAAATAAGCAAAATTGTGGTTGAGATTCATAAATTAATAACCACAGAAATAAAATACAGCAGACCCCCTATAAAACGGGTTCATATAATATGGATTCGTATATCACAACGAAAAAATTGCAATCGTATTCGTATAAACATGCTAAAAGAGGCTCATATAATAGGGTAAAACGTCATCGCTGACTCATGTTGCAACAGGATTAGTTGAATCTAGACCAATAGCGGATATTGCACAAACCGTTGAGTTTAAACGAGCAGTGGACCTACTAAAAACCAAACCATAAAAATTATATTTATATTAATGATGTCTCCAAAATTCAGCAAATTTTTTGCAGAAAAATAACTTATCAGAAAACACCGCATGCCGTTTGATGCGCAGCTCCACAACAAAAACAAGCTTAAGAAATGGCATCGTTGAACGGTGCACACTCTGTATGTAATCCTACAATTTTTTGTTTATAGCATAGTTTATATGGATTATTCCCAAAAAATTATACCTGTTTTGGAAATGTTGAGTCAAATTAGTCTAGAATCGATTAATTTTATGGAAGAAAACCTTTCAAACAGCCGTAGTCCCTAAACTGCATACATGCCAGGCTGTGATTGGCTCATGTATTTAAGTGATCGTAAAACATGAATTCATATAAAACAGAATGTATCTACTATATTTAGGTAATATGATCAAACGTCAATACAGTGCTTTCTCAAATAGCACTTCCCTTGTAAAGTGTTAATGAGGACTCATAAATGGATCTCTTCCATAAGTATCTGTTACTAAATGTATGATTTTGCAGTGCAAATGACATTTTTATCAGCACTGCAACTTAAATTTGCATGCAGATGTTACTACATGTAACTCTTATTGTTTGAGACACTTGTTTTGTACCACACTCAATTCAAAGGCAAACAAATGGCAGCAATAAATTGACATTTGACAGAATATATCTACTGTATTATAGGGGGATCTACTGTAAAGAATAAAAAGTAAAAATAGACGAATAAATGTCCCTTAATAAAATTAACTTTCATAAAAGAACCGCCATGCAATAGCCAAGCTGTTTGCATTTCTATAGTTGATACAACCAGATTTTCTGTGTGCTTTAAAAATCTCCAATTTTTCCAGATATCTCATAGTGTGTATATTAGATGTGGATCTGATGATGGCTGCCTGGTCCCATTGTACTTGTATGCCCTATCTATTAAAGGTGTGTTTTTTTGATTGTGTATAATGAGGCTATTATTTAATCAGGATGCATTTAATGTTTTAATAAAATTTTTATACATAATTTGTAAGTGTAATAATAAATTCAATTATAAAATAAGAAAACACTTATACAGTAGACCCCCTATAAAACGGATTCCTATAATTACGATTCCTATAAGACAGCGAAAAAATTGCGACGGTATCCATAAAAAATGGTAAAAAACTCCTATAATTACATAAAATTACGTCATCGGGCAGCCGAACTACTTTCCGCACCATCAAGCGCCACGATACGGAGAGATTACTATCGTCTGTACAGTATTATATATAAATTAGGTACTGTACATATAATTATATATTAACTTAATTTATTTTAACTTTATTATAATTATATGTATAATTTCCACCGCCTAGCGCCACGCTACGGAGAGTTTAGGCAAACTATCGTCTGTACAGTGTGTAAATTAGGTACCGTAAGTCTAATACAGTACTGTAATTTTATACATTTCTTGAATAAGAAACATTTCTTATTCAATGGCAATAAAAATTATTTATATTAATGATGTCTCCAAAGTTCAGTGAAGTTTTCGCAGAAAAATAACATCAGAAATCGCAGCCGCAGTTTGCTGAGTTTTTCTGCAACGAAAACAAGCTTGAGCAATGGCGATGTCGAATGGTGCACACTCGGTAAGTAATCCTACAATTTTTTGTTTATAGCGTAGTTTATATGGATTATTTCCAAAAAAAAATATACGTATTTTGGAAATGTTGAGTTGGATTAGTCTAGAATCGATTAATTTTATGGAAGAAAACCTTTCAAATAGCCGTAGTCTGTAAACTTGACATGTGTCGGGCTGTGATTGGAAGGACTCGTAAGAAATGGATTACTAAAGAATGGAACGTATCTACTGTCTTATAGGGGGGTCGACTGTAATTAGAAAAATGTTCGGGGCTCCAAATGAATGGTTTAATGTCTTTAAAAGGTTTACTTCGAGCATTGATTGATATGCAAATTGTACATTTTTGTTAGTTTGGTAGGATTGTTCAATTTGCACTTTAAAAGAAATCATTTGATCATTTTACATGACAAAAGTTATACAGGAAATAAACTTTTCAATGAAAATATGCAGTTAAATTGAAAACATTAGATAACAAATTTGACTGAAAGTAAAGATCCTTTTTAATACTGTAAAATTTTTTACTTTAAATGTGAATTTTATAAGGAAAATAACGTATTTTAATATATAAAATTAATTTTAAGAAATTAGTTAAGAAGTAAACAATAGATGGCACTGAGATCTGTATTATGAACCAAGGTCTATATAAGAAGGTCAGGACACGCTCCCGTGATTCTATGCGGCAGCGGCCATTTTGGGACTCATCGATAGAGCTCAACATACGTGGTTCCTGCGTGAGTCGACTATTATTACTTATATACGTACTCAAAACGTTAAGCAATGGGTTATTGTGTTGTACCTAATTGTAAAAGTAAGTCTACCGACGTTCGATTGTTCAGATTTCCTGCAGATAAGCAGAGGCGAGCGAAATGGGTGCAGAACTGCAGACGGGATAAGTGGCAGCCAACTGATCATTCTAAACTGTGTGAGGTTAGTGTATATCATGTAATTTTCTATAGTTACTGTCTTGAAATGTATACGTGAGCTCACATTAAATTATTTGTTGTTCAGCTTCATTTCGAAGAATCGCAGTTTGAACTGAAAAGAGCTGACGGAAGGAAGCTGCTGAAATGGAATGCGGTTCCCACAATTTTTAATGTGAAAAAGTTGAAAAATGTTTCCTTATTTGTCTCCATAAATAATTTCATTGTTTAAATTTTGAGTATTTATTTGTGATGTGACTTGGTGAAATTGCTTTTTATACAAGAATAAAGAATCATTTTATGTAAATTAGCATTTGTATTTTGTGTGTTTACAGAGAAAGAAGTTATGTCTCAGATAAGTTCTGTTAAAAATATCATTAAATTATGTTTAATATTATCCTTTTGATTAAATTTTATGTAATTAGGAAAATATGACGTTTAAGCCTTTGTAAAGCCAAAAATGTTCATTAATTAAACGTTAGTCCAGTATTTATTTTTTAAATGCATTAAATTGGTAAATGCTTTAAAATAAAATTTTGGATAACTTCATTGTATATTCTTTATTATACTTTAAATTTCCTTTGATGTTATTGCATCACTTTACGAAGTGTCTATATACGTAATTGCAACAGTTTTAGCACCTATTTAATTAGTTTCAATCACGACAGAAAATGATA